AGTTCATTCATGGTTGTTGAGGTTTCATTATAAACTCTTTCAAACAAGAAATTAGAAAACATCACGTTTAGGTAATTTATATGCAGGTTGCAATTTTGAAAAAATTTTAATCCCTAACTTATTTTCAAAAAGTCTCAATGAGCATCCAGTACCATTGAGAGCACGTGATAAATCCATTTGTTATTCATCCTGTAAAATTTTACATCATGATTTTAATTATAAGTTGTTTTTTATTTTACTGTTTACTTAGGTACTTCAGTATGGCATGACTATTAATTGCATTCAATATTTATCATAACTTAATTAAAACTTACTGTTTGTTCATTAGTCATTTGATTTAAGGAAATAAAGGTTGAAGTTATATATTTCTGAAGTATAAATGGAACTCTTGTTGAAGAGTTATTTTAAGGTAACCTATTCCAATATTTCTTATTTTTTTTAAAGTTTTCAATTCTTGAAGTTGAACTGTTTTAAGGTTCATTAATATCTAAAACCTTAAGAATACTTTGCAAAAAAAACATGTTGGCTTTTTTTTGAGTTGCTACTCTACATCAAACAAATCATAAAACATCTCTTTCAGATGTTTTGCAATTACACAAACAGTTTTTCACACAATGTTATTTTTAATGCAATTTCAAATTGTTAATTTCTCTTCTCTTTTTTTTTTTTTTAATTTATTAAATCTTTTAGCTTAATTTAGTATTTTTTTTTCTTCAATTTTTCTTGCTCTAATTTGTGTTTTTTATTATTGTTAAGACATTACTTAAATGTCATTTACTTAGATATTAATTACCTACAGGGCCGACGACGGCCGGGGGGCCTGTCCCCCTCCCTCCCCTAACCCTCCCTCCAACTTTTTCTAAAAGACCATTTTTTGGAGAAAATGCTTAATTGTTTTAGAGAAAATGTCTAATTGTTTTAATGTCTAATTGTTATTGAAAAATGTTGGTTGAAAATCAGGTAAAAAGTTATTCAAAAGTATATTTACTCCCTATTTAATTAAGGAAAGTATCTGGTTGCTAAGCAATATAGGTATTGATAGCAAAATTAATGTTATCATTGTAATTATAATCTTCAAACTAGTGTGTAGAGCAAAATATCTTCTATATATGATTAGTAGTTAATTTTGTCCAGTAAAAGTGGGCACTGGACCACTGTTTCACATAAAGTGAGCACTGTGTGCTTTAAAATGTGATGTTATGAGTATTGAGAGATTTTAGGAGAGATGAGGTTGCAAAGTGTTAATTTTAAAATCAATTGAGAAAAAATAATAATTGTTTTCATGATTAAACTTTTAATTTGTTTAATCATGAAAACCAGAGATGAAAAGTAATTTATTTATGCATTATTACGATTGAGTAGTTTTTTTGTGAATTTTTACTTGTTAATTATTTTTTTAAATGTGTTCTTTTACTTAACAATATGTTTTTAAAAGTATTTTTAAAAACATTTGTATTTTTATTTTAAAGTATTTTGCTGCATTTTAAATCATAAATGTTACTGAGCAAAAAAATTTGATGCGTATTAGTATTTAATTTCACAAAAAGTGTGATTTAATTTTTTGAGTTGATAAAAATTAGTGCCTGCTTTATAACATTTTTTCCTTATAATTTTCATTAATGTTTTAAATGAAGTTATGAAGACATTAAAAATGTATGTTTCGAATTTTAATCTTTCTAATAGAATTTTAAAAGAAAGTTTTTAATAATAATTTTAATTTAAAACAAAAGTTTACATTTTATAAAAAGTACTATGAAAAAACAAAAAAATAACTACTTATTTTTAATTAATTATATATCCTAGTTACATAATTATTGGCTTTGTTTTAAAGATTTTACTTATATATGCTACTTGTATTTAAGAAAAAAATTATTTATTTTTTTACATAATTTTTTACAGCATTTTTTACATATATGCAAATTTTGCAAGAACAAAGAAAAGAAAAAAAAGCTTTAACAGATGAAATGAGTGTTAAATAATGACTTATTTTAATATCAATTTGTTTGTATTAATAAGCACACACTTAAAAATATTAGTAAAGATATACAAAAAAAAATAGACAGCATTGTTTATGTTTTGTTATTCGACAGGTCTGTTACCTGAAAATATTAGTAAAGATATACAGAAAAAAATAGACAGCATTGTTTATGTTTTGTTATTCGATAGGTATGTTACCTGAAAATGGCTGTTAAAAAAGTAACTTAGTAAGGTTTACTCTGAATACATTTTTAATAAGCTACTTTTTACTTTTACTTGAGTAAATTTTTTAATCGAATTCAAACTTAAAATTAAAGAAAATTTTTTATTGAACTTAAACAAATTTTACTCATCAGGTAAAGTTTATATCATTACCAATACATTATAATTAGCTGAAGTAATTCTGATATGTATTAATTTTCTTATTGTAATATATTCACACCTCTTTATATTTTGTCTTTAAACCTTCACAGTTATATACTCTGTGTTAAAATTCTTTGCAATTATTTATTCTATTTATGTAGTAACTAAAGTAAAAATCATATATAAATATAATATAACTAATATATAAATATAATATAACTAATATATAAATATAATATAAATAATATATAAATATAATAAAAATAATATATAAATATAATATAACTAATATATAAATATAATATAAATAATATATAAATATAATATAACTAATATATAAATGTAATATAACTAATATATAAATGTAATATAACTAATATATAAATATAATATAAATAATATATAAATATAATATAAATAATATATAAATATAACATAAATAATATATAAATATAAATAATAAAAATAAAATAATAAGTTTATATAACTATTTTTTTATAGTTTTTAATTATATAATGTTATTGGTGTATGTACTACATTAGACACCACGTCCTTGGTAGTACCACGCTTAACTTGTTTCTCCGCGCAGTGGCCTTGTTCATCAGGGCCAGGTTCGTGTTTCAAAGTTATAGAGTTAAAAGAAAGTTGTAACTACAATTAAGTAACATCGTCTGTAGTGGCCTTCTCAACTTTAGGAAGGTGAACTCGATTAAAAAATAAAAAAAACTACATATAACTATAGTATAAAAGGTTATTATATTTCAATGTACCTAAAAAATTGTTTTGTGTATGTATATATTAGTGATGTGCCGGTACCCAGTTTGGACTCGGAAATTCCAGAAAAACCCAGAAACTCTGTAATTCTGCTGTTGTAAAGTGTTTCGGGAGTCGGCCATTTTGTTGCAGTAATGTAACCTTAAAGCACTGGTAATCTTAAAAAAATTTAATGCTGAAATATTTCGGTATAAATTTGATAAAAAGCAAAACTTTGGTTGAAAAAAATACCGAAAACCAAAAAATTTAAAAGGTTTTTTAATTTAGAGAATTTTTACAAAATATTTTACTATTTCTAAATAAAGTTTTAAGCCCATTGTTCACAAATTATTTAACTTTTTAGTTACTAAATAGCACATTTCCATCTGCTTCTTAAAAATATCAAAACCGCAAATAATCAAGCCATTGCGGTGCGCATAATATTTTTGTCTGAAAAAATAGTTTTAAAAAAGTCTTTTTTTGTTCATTTAAGAAAGTGAACAAAAAAATAATATATCACGAATGTATTTAGTTATTTTGATAGATTTTTATATGAGTACTTTTATCTTTATTATTATTTTCGTATGACTAAAATTTATTATTATTTTATAAGATGTAATGAAGTTGTCAAGAAAGTTGAGTTTGGAAGCATTTTACAGTATCTATTAGCGTTCCTAAGTAATTAGTTCCTAAGTCAATTGTAATATTTGCAATGGAAAAGCATCTTGCGGGTCTGATGTTCCTAAGTACCAGTCAGTGATCAAAATGTTGGTATTGCTTTTGGTAAAATATATTGCCGAAATATTGGTTTTGGTTTCAGCACCAAACTAGAGTACCCTAAATTTCTGTTTATTTTGGTTTCGGCTTTTTTTCTGTTTTGGTCAATCACTAGTTTATACATTAGTTAGCGTAATTTGAATTTGTGATCTCGAGTGTAATTATAGTTATATATTAAAAATAAACTTGATATATTTAGGCAAACTTAATTAGGGCAAATTAACCAGCATTATTTTGTTAAAAACAATTCAGTTCCTGAGATTTCACAAGCTCTTATTCTAACTTTTTAATATGGGCCCAGTGCCAGGTACCCGGACTCGGAATCTATATAATCTGCTGGGTACCCAGAATTGGGGACTCAGCATAAACTGATTCCAGCACATCTTTAATATATATATATATATATATATATATATATATATATATATATATATATATATATATATATATATATATATATATATATATATATATATATATATATATATATATATATATATATATATATATATATATATATATATATATATATAAAATAACCTTACAATGTCTACTGTAATTGATGAAAAATAAATTAACTTTATGTTGTTTACTGTAATTGGTAAAATAAATTAATTTTATGTCTACTGCAAATGAGGTTGGCAAATAAAAAATTTTACACAAAGGGGTTACCATAAAACAAAGAGACAAAGTCAGAAATATTTTGCCAACCTCAAACACATTTAGGTCAGCAGTTAGATTGGCATTGCTAAATGCCGTCCCTAATTTTAAGGCCTGCTATTGTAATTCATGAAAAATAACTTAACCTTAAAATGTCTATTGCAATTGATAAAAAATAAGTTAACTTTATGGTGTCTATTGTAATTGGTAAAGTAGATTAATCTTATGTTATTTAATTTTATGTTATCTACTGTAATTGATAAAATAAATTAATCTTATTTGTATTTGATGAAAAAAAAAGATTATTACTAAATTAGTGTTGCACAAACTATTTATTATTATTATATATTTATTGTTAAAATGTGTTTGTATTGATATTTTTCTTTTTTGAAGAAAATAATTTAAAATTTATTTTTATGAGAGTTTTTTTTTTTACAAACTTTTTTTTTAAAGTTATTTTAATGTTTCAGATTTTATCGGCAGTATATCAAGAAAGCGTGAGTTAAGTGAAGAAACGGATAAACGTAGAAAAAGGTTCTTTTCTAAATGTCTTTGAGAATATTAATAATACTTTAAGTTAATTTATTAAGCACTAAAGTAATGGTGCCTCTGATTTACATTCATGAAAAAAAGCTTCACTTTAAATTTTTTAGCACTTTTTGTCACAAATTAAATCATGTAATATTTAATAGCGATACATTTTGATAAATCTTTTTAAAGTTTGATTATAAAATGATGTAATAGTTTTAGATTTTCTGGTTCCCTGTAAAAAAATAAGAATATGATGAGATAAATGATATGATTATGAAATTTTTTTTTTTCAAAATTGCAAGGGTTTTCTCAGGTGTTTATTATTATAAAACTTTTAATAAAAATAAATCTGATTTATTTACATTGAAACTTTTATAATAATAAACACAAAAAATATAGTATATTAAAAAAGTAAAACATAAAAAATTTAAAATAATAAATACTAAAATTCAAACATAATATGCATTAAAAATTTTGAAGAGTGTTTAGTTCTGTGGTTTTTCAATGCTTTGGTATTCTTACAAATGTTGTATTGTCTTTGTTTGACTGTTGTGGTAATATCAACTGTTAACAGTAAATTTTTTGATGGTATCCAATACATGTCATTTCTAGAAAGCTAATAATATGACTAGAGGGGAAACAAGAACGTCTGAATCTTTTTTGAAAGTTCAACATTAGTTTTCTCATAAGTTAGATAGTATTTTTAGATATTAGATTTATATTGTCATTTCAAGCACTTCACATATCATGTGAAGTCCTTGACATGACAATATAAATCTAATATCTAAAAATACTCACAACACTCCAAGGCTTATATTCATAAAAAAGCATTATCTAATAGTCTTATCAGTTTGGAAATGAATAAAAAATGAATATTCCAATTGTTCAGAAACAATTTTTGTGTTATTTATAGAAGTAAAATAATGATAATTTATAGTCCCCAGTAAAGTTTTTGAAGCTGTGTATCTTTTCTCTATTTCACTTGAGTTACCTAGTTTGAGTTCTTAAATGCCTATGTAGTAAAATCTAGTTTTTATTTTATTTTGGAAAAAAAAAAAATCATAAAATAATGTTTAATGTTCTATAAAAGCAATTTTAGTTTTTTTGCTATCACATCTATATTACATCTTTATTACATAGGTATTTATTGTGACTATCTATATTACATAGGGATTTATTGTGACTTGTTGTAGAGATGTACATTTTGTAATAAAATCTTGTGGACTAATTTCTCAGCAAAATCTAAATTGTGTGCATACATACATTGGTGTATATTTATGAAGTGTTTGAATTTTTTATATTGGGCAGCACAACCATCTGTTAAATATTGAACAGTTTCTATTTTTAGCTTTGTACAACTAACTCATTATTTTATGAAATAACCAAGAACAACTTTAGTGCTACTTAACAAATTTTTTAATTTATTAAAGAAGCTTGACTATTTATATGTAAGAATGAATAAGAATGTTTTTGTAACTTATCAGAGTATAAATAAAGCTACATGTGATTTCAGTTAGATTTACTAGCTCAGATTTTGTTTTCTTTTTTTGTCATTATTTACAGTCAATAAAAGAATCTTCATCAATATGATATTGATGAGAATGAAAACTCATTTTAAAGATAAATTCTTTATATAACATCCTCTATACACAGCCGACAATAGTTTAACTCTTTGACAATTTTTAACTCTTATAGATAACTCTGGATAACTGCTTTTAAACTTAGTATTAAGTTTTTTTTAGATTTAAGAGAAACAAATCCTTTTTTTTAGATTTTAAAGAAACAAACCTTTTTGCAAGTTTCTGGAGCTCACAAAATTCTTTTCTTAATTTACTTTCACTGTTACAATAAAGTTCAATAAAATTACACAAGAATAAAATTACACAAAAATAAAATTACACAAGGAAAAAAATTGACTTAACTTTGAGAGAGAGAACAAAAAATGATACAAAAAAGTAATCTTTTTAATTATATGTTTTGTTTATAATTAAATATAATCCTAACAACTCAGTTCTACTTTTTCACATAAAAATAAATCAAAGTTTTCCAGAAGTTTATTATTAAAGATGTCAAAAAAACAAATCAACTGTGAAAGAATTTTGCGCATTTACATAAAAATTATTGGATCATCATCTAGAGCAATATCTAAACTAGCCAACTAGTTTAAAAGTTCAACTGTTTCTCAGGTTCTCAAACATTACAAGGAAATTTTTATCCATCAGTTGCAAGTCAGTATCTGGAAAAAAGAAGAGATTTGAGAATAAAAGTTTGCAAATTTGTTGTTCATACTTGCAGAATCCTGAACTATCAGACTAAAATCCAAAAAGTCAAGGATTTTTACGGTATTCACTCTTGTTGCATGATAAAATATCCAAACCTTACCAAAAAGCATCGAAAAACCAAAACGAGAAAATTGTACAACAACATTCTGACAAAGTTTTATGGCTGCCTAATACTTGATGATGAAACTTATGTCAATTTAGACTTTAGACAAAATCTGTTCACAGATTTTTTGCTAGTATTAAGCACGGAGCTCTGAGCTAAAAATATAAAAAATTTTATGTTATTGGTAAATTTAAGTGATGCAAGGTAAAGTCAATACAGGTTTCCAGCTGTTCAAAAAGAATTCCAAAGAACTGATGTTTGAAGATAAAAACTAGATGATTAAGAGTTTTTGGAGCACTTAGGAACAGTAACAGAAAAAGGATGAGACTTAATTGAATGAGGAGTAACACAAGAGTAAATTTTAGTAGATGGCACAAGAGCCCCAGATATGGCAACAGTATTCCATACGAGGCCGGATTTAAGATTTATAGAGCTAGAGAATAGAATCCTGAGTAAGAAAGTGTCAAGCTCGATAAAGAGATGCAACTTTAGTAGATGCTAATTTTGCAACGGATTTGATATATGGTTTCCAAGAAAGATTAGAAGTAAGAGTTAATCCTAGAAGATGAAAGGTAGATGACTTAACAAGTACATTACCGTTTAAAAATATATGAAGGTCTAAATTATTGCGATAATGATTGGCTGAAAAAAAATTGAGTTTTTTCTGTATTAAAGTTCACCAGCCACTGTAAGCCCCATGCTGTAGCAGAAGTGAGATGCTATTCAAGCTCAAATGCCCCTCCAAGCAATCAGAGAGTGTTGGCTTCTTATCATGACAAGAATAAATGGTAGTATCGTCAGCGAACAATGCCACCTTAGATGTGAGAATATCAGAATAAGAAGAAGAGTGCTGTCCATTAAGGACAACTTTTATACTATGATTGGAAAGAAAGGATTCAATAATCCTAAGGATGTTTCCAAATACACCGTGAGAAGAAATTTTATAGAAAACACCAGCATGCCAAACTTTATCAAATGCTTTAGAAATGTCAAATGATAGCCTTAACCTCTCCACCTTTATCTAATGGACGATAAAAACCTATCGGTTATTACTGTTAGCAAATCAGCCATAAAACGAGAAGATCGAAATCCATATGATATGATCAGAAAGTAAGTTATTAGATTCAAGTTATTAGATTAAGTGTTTGTTAATTAAAGATTCACTTTAGATACAGAAGCTGGAGTGATACAAATGTCAAGCAATGGATCAACCTGTTTGACAGCTATATCAGGTAGAACGCAACTAGTGGAATCAAGAGATGATATTAATAAAAAGTTCTTAGCAATTAATTCAGTCTTTAGGTGAGGTGACAAAGTCTGAACCATACAATAGAGGTGGAATTACAGACTTTCCCTTATTATTGATACTATTAAAGATTCTTCAGAAGTCACAAGAGCCTAATTTTTGTGATAAAATACGAGATTTCATAACCTGAGAATAGGCTTCGGCATTATACAAAACCTTTTTACAATGGCTCAGATGTCTATTTTCTGGAGAATTATTTTGCTGATAGATATGGAAGTAATGGTTTCGATTGGTAATTGCAGCAGCACAATGTGAGGAAAACCATGATGAAGAGTGAGGCTTGACATGGAATCAACAAGAAGGAATAAAGGGTTCCATGCCAGTCTGAATCCATGAAGTTATGTAAGAAGTACATTTGTCAACAGGAAGACGAAAGATTTCTACCCTAGGGCCATCACAAAGAAAATCATGGAAAAAATTCCAGCCAGCTTAAAGGTAGTTGTAAGATGTACCATGATGGGGGATTCTGATGATAAAGAAGAATGAGATAATAGTTTTAGAGAGATCAAACTGTGATCAGAGGCACCTAAGGGTGAATGTGGAGAAACTGAGCACTGACTAGGATCAGAAACAAGACATAAGTCGAGTAGAGAAGGTAAATGATTCGGGTTATCTGGAAAACAAGTTGGAAAGTTGACTAATTGAGTTAGGGATTGAGAAAGGCAAAAGTTGTGGGCTTTAATGCCTGCAGAGTCAGTGACTCTAGAGCCAAGCCATTCAGTGTGATGAACATTAAAGTCACCGACAACAACAATATTGGCTGATGGATAAAGAGAGAGGGCTTGGTCAATATGATCAGAAATAACATCAAGAAGAGTGCATTCTTGAGATGAAGGAGAGTGATATAGAACAAAGAGAAAGGCAATAGAGTGATGTGGTGCTAAATGAAAGCACATAAAAGAGTATTCTGTGCATTCAAATCTAGTTTCCTGACAAATGGGTGAATTCTTACAAATGTAAATGCCCAGGCCAAGCATATGACTATGGGAGTCTTTATGAATTAAAGAAAGATAACCATTAATACTAAGATCACAAGATGAGATAGCTGAACTCAAATTAGTCTCACATAGAGCAAGTAGGTCTGGTGAACTTTGCAAGAGATTTCTCAACAGAAGAAAAGTTACTTCGAAGACCACGAATATTAGTGAATGATAGATTTAGGGAACTTGGTGATGACAGTGGTTCTTTGTGTTTTATAGTTTTTGTTAATTTATTCATATTCAAAATTGTTAAAGAACTTGACTCGAAACATAAATAGTACTCAGTACACTGTTTATTAGTCCAAGCAATTGCCTCATTACTATTAATAAATTCTAAGCCGTAACAAAGGGCTTCAATGTGGTCTTGGCAATGCACACCAAAAGAACAAACAGGGACACTATCCATGCGCAACATAGCACTGTTAATACTTTGGTATTTTTCAGCTGTTGATGGAATCAGCCTCTCTGAGAGCTACCACAGAGTTCGGGAAACCTGACTACCAGCTGGCCTCAGAACCATGAAACTGAGTTTTAGAGCTGTGCCCTCATTAGGAGGTAATAGTTAGAGTTTCCTAATCATAAAAACAGAGACACAAGCAAAACCCATGCATCGAGTCAAAAAGTTCTAGCATTCAACATCCTAAACTGGAAACAATGTATTAAGAATACATCTGCGCCAGCCTAATAGATAAAGATATAAAAAAAAAGTTTTGAAATTTAGTTTACATGGTTTTAAAATTAGATTTAATTAAAGAAGCTTTGATTTTTTATAGTTTTTGTCATTTTGAATTCTACACCCTAAAATACAATTAGCTGAACATTTTCTTCATTTTTAAACAAATTTTAACACTAATTTTGTGGAAATAATTGCCTAAAAATGAACTTTTTTATAAAACAAAAAAAAAATCAGGACAGAGTACGAATATCTATTATACTCTTAAGAGTTAAACACCGAAATTTTAAATGAAGTTTTAGTTTCATTAATGTAAATTTGCATACCAAAATTTATTAAACTCTGAGATGGCGTGGTGCCTAAAAAAAAATTAGGGGGAAGTTTTATTGTTTCTTACCAAACATATATATTTACTGAAAACTTAGCATCTGTCAACTTGATTTACAAGAAAATTTTACATTTTTATTTACTTTTTGATTTAATAGTATTTTTATTTTTAGGAAGCATGAAATTTCAAAAAAGAAATCTTCAAAAGATAAAGGCAGTGAAAGCGAAATAACAGATGATGAAACAAAAAAGAAGAAAGCTAAAATTGAAAAACCAACAAAAGATTTAAAGGAAAACGATCACAGTAAAGTTTCCAAAAAAATAACTCCTTCTAAACAAACTGTCCGTGAGGAATCACCTAAATCTACAAAAACTACTAAAGATGTAAAGCAAAAAGTTGAAAATGATGATAAATCTAAAGAGAAAAAATTAATTTCAAATAAAAAATTACCTCCAGTGAAAGATCCTAGTGTATCTAAAGAGGAAAAAATAACAATAAAAAGTGAAATAGATAATATTAAAAAAGATGATTTTCCTACAAAGCGAGATGAAAAAAACTTGGTTGATAGTGCGAAAAATGAAAAACGACACTGCAAAGAAAAAAGCACCTGTAAAGATGAAAGTGAAGATTTAAATGAAAATAGAAAGAGTAGATTATCTGAACGTACAGGAATTTCTACAGGATGGTCCTCTACTCATTCAGACTTTAGAAAAGGACGTTCTCCAGTACGTTCTAATGATAGTAGGCGGTCTCCTGCACATTCAACAGATAGCAGAAAAGATAGATCTCCTGAATCAAGAGATTCTTATAAACGAGGTTGGTCACCTGTAAAATATGACAGAAGAAGATCTCCTATTTACAATCGAGATGCATATAGGCGTGAATCATATGTTTTTGATAGAAACAAAAATCATGATGTATCTCGCAGTTGGGAAAGAAACAAAAGTCCAAATAATAGAGGTAAATTTATTTTTATTTTTTAATTTTTTTTTTAATAATATAAATGAAATTGTTGTACCAAATTAATAAATATAAAACTTGGTTTTGCTTACAACTAGTGTAAAAACAATTTATGTCACAATAATCTTTAATTTTTTTAAATTTTTGGTGTCAAACTAAACTTTCACTAAACTTTCAGTAAAAGTTCCTGAAATAGTGCGTGGCATATTTTGAATTCTTTTACTAATTTTTAACACAGTGATGAAATTTTCTTTTTAATTTAGTAACATTGGGAAGCAACATCCAAAGGGTTCTTGAAAAACCTACTTTTGAACTTGTCCTATCATCAAGTTTGATGATAAGAAAACTACAAATAATAAGATATCTACTTTTTGGGATTTAGGTTCTTTTAAATTCCGCAGAGAAAGCTCATTTGGCCAAAGGAATCATCTTGTTGTAAAAAGTTGCTAAAACTCTTTCACAATGTCATTTGTTAAATACCAATATGGCATGGAAAAATGTTTAAACTACATAAGCTCAAAAAAAATTAAAAAAACTATCAGAGTGGACTTTTACATCATTATTTTACTTTGTTGTTCATCATTATACACATTGTTTTCACTATATATATAAATTTGTTGTACTTCATTATATTTCTTTGTTGTACATTAGGATGACCCAAAAAATGCAACAAAAAAAAACTGTAATGTTTAAGTGTCCTATGGAATTCACTAGCTATTATGATGCTAATATGATCTCATTGATTTGATTAAAAAAGATGCGTTTTGTCCAAAGTTTATTGACTCTATTGCCTCAAAAAACTAAAGTTTGTACGTCAAATTAAACAAAGTAGACAAAATGTCATTATTGCAAACGTATTAGTTGGTAATTAAATTTAAAAGTAAATTTGTTTTTTTTTAACTAACACATAATTACTTACAAGAATAAGTTTTGTAGCATTCTGTGAAAATATATTTGTATATTAAAATTTTTTTTAATAATTTTTATTTATATATTTGTGTTATAAGGGCAATTTAAAATTTTCAAGGTCAAGACCAAGGCCAAAGCCAACAGTTTCAAAGCCAAGACAAAGGCCAAGGCCTCAATTTTTGCCTTAAAGCAAGGTTAAGGTCTAGGCCAAGGACTAACAACTCTGGTTCGGGGGAACAAAAAATGAGTTAACTTCAACTAAAGTGAAGTTATTTGGTTACATTGCAAGTTTCATGCAGAAAATTTTGCTGAGATATCAAACCAATGCCCCAATGATTCCTTTTCTTTTTGAAGATTTGTTCTCAACTGTTAAAAGTTTAATTTTAAAACAAGATGTCCTTAGCAGCATCGTCAACTTCAAAAATATGATTTTACAAAAAAAGAAAACTTTCTGCTATTATAATTAATGACAATTGGATTTCCTGCAGAACATGACAGATTTAATAACATAACATGACAATTGGATTTCCTGCAGAACATGGATTTCCTGCAGAACATGACCAATTGAGGAAAAAGGATGCATTATCTCATGATGTCATCAACAGATTCATAAAAATTGCCGTCTCATTATCATTGGAATTCTGGAAAATATTTAAAAGAAGTTTAAATCGGTTTTCTTTTCTGAAAGCAACTGGTTGCTTTCAGAAAAGAAAACATGCTGGTTGCATCATGTCCATGCTGGTTTCATGCTGGTTGCATCAGTCCAGTGTCAAATTTTTCTAAACAAAAAGCTGATCTTCTTCATCAGATGAAACCTGTACTACATCTAGTTCTTTCTTGCTCACATATTACTTCAAATAAATGTGATCAAGCTTTCATACCATTTTCAAAGATGTTCGAGGAAAGTTCATGTACTCTTTTACTTGTATTAAAATATTTTCACATTGGAAATTGTTTAAACAAGTTTTATTTTGAAACCATTAAAGTTAGTGTAGATTATAAGGTTTTGTCAAAAATGTTGATATTTATTTTTACATTATGTCATGGGGAAGCATCAATTGAGAGAGGTTTCAGTATTACCAGTAATATGCTCAGTAAAAAAATGAAAGAAAATGTCACTTATATCTTGTCGCACTATCAAGGATTTTATGGTGTCAAACATATTAAAGGCTCACAAAATAGAAAAAAACAATGAAATGACAAATGCTGTTTGTAGTGCCTCATTACAATTTGGAGGAAAATAGGAAACTCCAAGCAAAAGAAAATAGCTTTTTTTGATAATGCTTTTAGATCAGGAAATATTGTGACTTTTAATTTTCAAGTAAATTGATTGGTTCATTATTCATTGGGGGATTATAGTATGTTGTTTTAGAGGTAAAAATGCTCTGGGGTTATGTAAGTAATTGTTAAGTAAATGTTAAGTTTGGGCATTTGAATGCTGGAAATATCAAGGGGAAATAAGCAAAATTTAAGGGGAAAAATCTAGAAAAATCAGGGCGAAAAAAGCTAAATTTTAGTGAAAAATCAGAGAAAATCAGGGAATTTTGTTCCTAAATAATGGTGGCAACCCTGTATATAGATAGATAAATATTACATATATATACATACATACATATATATATATATATATATATATATATATATATATATATATATATATATATATATATATATATATATATATATATATATATGTATATATATATATATATATATATATATATATATATATATATTATATATATATATATATATATATGTATATATATATATGTATATATATATGTACATATATATATTTATATATATATATATATATATATATATATATTTATATATATATATATATATATATATATATATATATATATATATATATATACACACACTTACTAAAGCGTGTTTTTGTAAGCATTTGCTCACTTTTTTTGCTAACCTTAACCCATACGGCTTTTTTTAGAAAAAGAAAAAAAAAAATGAAGAATGATGAATAAAACGATTGTTGCCCCATCCCAAACCCTCAGTCAATGTAGCAGCACTCCACTGCGAGACAGGCTATTTGTCAGTCGATGTATGTACTGAAGCCCCCAGCAGCAGGCTATTTCAGTATGATGTCAGATTGCTTACCTTAGTACGCAATACTATTTGTGTGTGTATATATATATATATATATATATATATATATATATATATATATATATATATATATATATATATATATATATATATATATATATATATATATATATATATATATATATATATATAGTTTACCGCGGAAAACGAAAATATACACAGACAGACAGAAAGATAACCTCTATGTTTTTAACTAATAAACATTTTAAATAAATAAAAAAAAGTGCCATAGTACTTTAATTTGACGATTTTTGACATCATTAAACAGTTTTAAACAGATCAAAAAACGTCAAATAAAGTTGCATGTATAACTACTGATTTTATTTTACATTTTATTTTTTATTTTCCAATATATTTTACACTATATTTTACATTATCTTTTACATTATATTTTACATTATATTTTAATTTATACTATATTCTATCTTATACATAGTGGCCGGGTATTCAGCGGGAATATAAAAGTTTGGCAGCAGGTTACATAGCAGGATATGTAAAGGGCAGATAGCCTGTGGCCATTTTAGTAGTTGTATAGCAGTCAATGTAACTTGTGATTTAAGGTGTGGTTAACCCACAGGATTTGTAGTAACTATGAGCAGGCTATGAGTTAGTTATATAGCTGGCTATGTATATTGAATTATATTCTAGAAACAATAAAAAACAATTAAAACTAATAAAAAGCATCAACCAATTATTTCCGCAATTGCGCTATTCTACTAGTATGTATATGTATAGATAGATAGAAACATATAAATATATAAAGTTTTAATCAGTTACAAAAACTATTTTAATTTTGATTTATATTTTTTTAGATTTTGCCAGATATTGAATTCTTTTTTTTAAAAAAAAACTGTTTTATCTTTTTAACAGTTAGGTTTTAATTTTAACAATATTCTTTGTAATAATTTATTTATTTTGATATTATTTTTATTTATTATACTTTATAATGCCGATCACTAAAATTATATAATTTAGAATAAAAATATATTTATTAAAAAAAAGTTTATATGTTGCAGTATTTATTAATTTTTATCTATATTTTACTGTATAACAAAAACTTTTATAAATAAATATTTTAAATTTTACTTTAGGTGACACCCCATCATTAGATAGTGAAAAACGCATTATAGATTGTTTAGATGTTTACGAAAGCATAAGTGATGAAGAACTTGATTTGTTCGATGACAATGACGAAGAATTTCCTCAACCAGCATCAGTTTTAGAGGTTGACTGGAGCTTGCTTCAGAATGGTGAAAATTTTAAGGTGGATAAAGGTAAAGATTTAAGGTTCTGCATAGTGGGCCGGATATTTGACTTATGGTGGACAAAATTTTTTTCAAATTTTTTTTTATTAAAGATCTTTAAATGTCCAAATAACTACTTAGGTTAAGAAATTTTTTCTTTTATTATAAATTTTAATTATTGCATAAACAGAAAATAAATAGTAAAACTTTTAAAGTTTATAACTTTTTATATTTAAGTTAGTTAAAGTTTTCATAAAACACTCATGACGTTTCAAATGCAAAGATATTTTTTGATGAAATGTAAAGTCTACAGATTAATTATGATCTAATCTAAAGTATTAAATTTGTTTTTTTATTAAAACTTTTTGCCCCCTCATTCTGAATGATATCATATTTAGTTTTTTTATACCAAAAATGATTATGATTTAAAAAACACGAAGAAAAAAGAAAATAAAGCTTGTACTAATTTGTATATTACAAATCATCTAATTACAGATCTGATTCTCTCACCAATTCTAGAACATCACTGAAAATTTATACAAACTTTGGTTGTTATTAGTATCTAGTGATCCAGTTATAACATCTCTTAGAAAACTTTATTTTTCTAAGAGATGTTATAACTGGGTCACTAGCCTATTAGTCAAATTATGGTTTGTGTTTTTTCTTGAGGTGTCTTTTTGCTAAAATGTTTCTGAAAGTTCTTGAAGTTTTTATTTTGCACCTCTAGGACATTTTCTGACATTATTCATTTGGTAGAAATTATCTTGCAATTATGGCATGACCATGAACCAAAATTTCTCTAAATTATAAGTGTCTAAATTCAACACTTTGTCCAAGTTATTTATGTCTTTGGGAGATAAACCACAAACTGGACAACACTGTGTCGAGTTTGTCATAGTTGATAAAATTGATTAAATTTTACCATCTATCATTGCCAGCTCAATAAAACATTTTACAGCTATTTCTTTCCAGCAAAAATAGTGTTAATAATAATGATTAATAATAATGACATTTCTAAATTTCCAAATTTTATTTTCTTCTTCCACAACATTCTTGGTTTCTTTTTGAAATGAAAATCTAACTGGTCGACAATATGCAGTCAATGATGTTATATACATAAGTAATTACTATAAGAGCATTTCATAAAACAATTTTTTTTTTTTATTAGGTACAATTTTTATCAAATATTTAAATTTTTAAAATATTTTATAAAAATTGTTTTGATATTTAAAAAAAGTTAAACATTCACTAAATTCAATTACTAGGATTTTACAAAAAATATTTTTAATGGAGTAATTTTATCACTAACATTTTAAACAGTTATTTTACTATTATCATTAGCAAGTAATTTGAACATTAGTTATTTGCAAGTTTCCATTTGAAAGATTCATTGTTTTTATTCAAAACTGTATAGCTATAAAACTATATAACTATAAAACTATGATAGACTATAATTAAAAAATTCATTGATTTTATTCAAAACTATATAACTATAAAACTATATATCTATAAAACTATAAAACTATGATAGACTATATTTAAAAAATTCATTGATTTTATTCAAAACTATATAACTATAAAACTATACAGAATGTTCATAAAGTACTATTACTAAGTTAAAAACTTCAAAGAAGAAAAAATTAAAAATTTTGACTGTCCAAAAAATAGCAGTTGACCACCAATTCTATGTGTTAGCCTGTCAAATTTACCACTCGCCTTGGATTTCTTGTTTTCCACGCTGTATATATATATATATATATATATATATATATATATATATATATATATATATATATATATACACATTAAAACATTTTCACATACCAAAGTCCTTTTTTTAAATTTGATTGAGTGTCAATATTTGAAGTTGCTTTTAAAAGTACATTCTTCATGGATTATCTTTTTCCAGATATTTCCAGAATTCTGGATATTTTTCTCAGCCTGTGGTTTTTCCGAATATCCAAAATGTTTTTCATACATACAAGTTTAGATGTATATTTTTGTAATATATTTATTTTTTAAGCTTTTTCACTTATCACTCATGCAAAAATTAAGAAAATTTTGGAAAAAATATTGGAAATAACTCAGCTAAAAGCAAAATTAAGAATAAAATAAAGGAAATTATATTCTAGATTTTTTCCGGATATTATACCCAAACAATTTTCCGGATTTTAAAAATATGACCTGGATGATCTATGATTCTTGATTCTTGAATAAAGGATTAATATATCATTTTAGGGGCCCCGAAATTTGAATCTGCCTAGGGCCCCAAATGGGGTAAATCCGGGTCTGTCTATATATATAAAAATATATATATATATATATACATACATACATACATACATACATACATACATACATACATACATACATACATACATACATACATACATACATACATACAGGCTTGGTCGGGAAGCGGGAGTGATCGCTCTCGAATACTGACCACAGAAATTATATTTAGTTGGGAAAAACTGGCCAGGTTTTTTAGTCGTTTTGAGAACATTCAAGTTTATGTACGAAACAAAATATTTTTGTTTTACAGACATACATGGAAACATAAAAAACTTGAATGTTCTCAAAACATCTTAGCGCGAAAGAATAAAAAGAATATTTGCGAACACTAAAAACCCACCAAATTAACGAACAAACTAATTCCATTGGTTTAAAAAATATGCTGATTAAGCGAAATAAAGTTCTAGAATATTCTGTTGAAATGTTTTAGAAATTGTATTATTCACGATTTGTTATGTTTTGAGATTTCTAGCATAAATTGTTTTAAGAATATATATTATTTGTTTACAAAAATAAATGTTTTAAATATATATTAATTAAATTGTCAAAATTTTAAAAGTTTATTATAAATTATAAATTTTATTAGTATATTCTTATTTTTTATTTTAAAAGTATGTATTCTTTATGTAAATGTAATTTTGTGTATTTGTTTTTTATCGTAATGTATCTTTTAAAGCAATTTGTATGATTTAAATAAAGACTTACAAAAATAATTGCGTTTTCAATGAAGTTATAATCGTTAAAGTTAATAAAACTAATTATGTAACAAACATATAAGAAGTTTCTGGTTACTAAACAACAAACATCGCATACAAAGTAACTCATGGATGAACAAACACTGCTCCTGATGTCACTACAGAACACAAATATTTATAGCAAATAATTAGATATAAAGAAAAGTTTCTAGACTATCTTACTAACTCTAATTATTTTGGCTTAAGTTGCCATTCTTAAAACTCTTTGCTAAACTTTTTTGCTTTAAATACTAATTAAAATTAAAAAGCCCACTCACTAAACATCATCAGCGATATTGTGAAGCAGTTTCGCTTCCTCGTCATAAAGTATTTTTAACCTTTTTAGTTGATTTTTTATCTTAATAATTTAATTTCTATAGTATTTAAATGATATAATTATTTCATTTGTTTATCTTACCAAGAAGAATTGCTTCAAATATGTTAAACTTTTCAAACTACGCAAAACATAAAATAGGTATTAAAAAAATTAACTTTTTTATTTATAAAATAATTTAGCTTAAATAAAACTAAAACTTGCAAACTTTGTTAAATAAAGAATATTTGTTTCCCTTTTAAATAATCGTAAGATGTTACTTTATATAAAAAACGTCGCTTAATTTTATAAAAGTAATTATGAAAGAGCGATGTTTCGAAAATATTTGTTCTAAACGTAATTTATTTTGCTTTAAGTTTTTTCGCGTTTAAAGATATTTTATATGCCTAATTTTTTTTTTTTTGTAATTGTCTCTCATCAGTCTAATTAATCTTTAGCGCTTTTTTTTTTTGCTTTTTAAAATGTTCTCAAAACGACTAAAAAATCTGGCCAGCTTTTCGCAACTAAATATTATTTACGTGGTCAGCAATCAAGAGCGATTGCTCCCGCTTCCCGACAAAGACTATATATATATATATATATATATATATATATATATATATATATATATATATATATATATATATATATATATATATATATATATATATATAATATATATATATATACTTATATATATATATATATATATATATATATATATATATATATATATATATATATATATATATATATATATATATATATATATATATATATATATATATATATATATATATATATGTATATATATAAAGCTTTTTATTTCTCTACACTACTTCATTTTAATTATTATAAAATCCATTGAGTTCTAATGGTACTATGCAAGTAATAAATAAACACTCTTTATTCTTTAGGTTTCTTTAAATGTTTTCATTATGGCTGACCTGCTTGTAAACACTTTGCCCTATAGCACCATCAAATCCAGCCTTGCTAAAATGTCAGTTTAGTTAATTCTTTTAACACTGTGATTAGCACAGGAACATGTATGTCACACAGTCTTCCAAGAGTGTGTATCTTTTAGCGGCATATTTACTGTATACTCATCTACATAAATGGGGTTGCATTTTTTCATCAGCGCCATTTTGTAAAAGCTGGAATGTTGATTTTGATATACCACCATCAATGATCAATGCTAGACCTTCATCTGGTGAGTACTTCTTAAGAATTTCAACAGGGTTTCATCTGAAATTTCTGCTAATTGTTTAGCAGTCTCGTACTTCCTAAATTTCAATTTTGTTGCATGAAGTAATTCAGCGCCAGCTGAACTGTTAATGACATTGTTACCAGGCTAATTAATAAGTTTCTAGAATCATACATAAATGGCAGTAATAGGTCTGCCATATTATTTTTCTAACATTAGTACTACTTTTGTATGAACACGTGCAAAGTTTTGTGTAGATTAGTGGATTAGTCTTATATTTACAACTGTTTAAAGTAGAAGTTTCACAGTTTTTTTATATATGGAAAAAATCAAGTATTGAGCAGTGATTGAATTCCTATTTTCTGAAGGTGTAGAATTAAAACAGATTCATGAATGATTGTTAAAAGTGTATAAGGATTCTTCACCTTCACTTGCAACAGTGTATAATTGGGTTGCTGAGTTTAAACCTGAGCATACAAGTCTTATACGTCTATAAGACATCCTTTCTGTGGATCGTCATCCACAGAAAGGATGTCTAAAAAGTGCATCAACACCAGAAATCATAGCAAAAATACAGGATTTGGTTTTGGAAGACAGGCAATTAACTGTGGATGAAATATTTGACATCGTACACATCTCACATGGTACAGCACATAATACTTTAAGTGAGATTTTAGGTTACAAAAAGCTGTGTGCACAATGGGTGCCACATTAGCTAACAATGCAACAAAAACACCTTCAAATGTGACTTTCTCAACAACATTTTGAGCAATTTCGAAAGGATAAAAAGAGTTTTGTGCGTTGATTCATCACTATGGATAAGACTTGGGTCTATCACCATGATCCTAAATCAAAACAAGAGGATAAAGAGTGGTGTGGGCCCGAATCTTTGGCTCCAAAGCGAGTTTGTGTCCAGAAATTGGCCAAAAATGTGTTAGCGTCAGTTTTTTGGGATGCAAAAGCAATTTTGTTGGTGAATTACCTCCAAACTGGTAAAGCAATCAATTCTTATTATTATTGTAGCCTTTTAGATCAATTAGATAAAAAAATTTGTGAAAAAAGACCCGGTTGGCAGAAGAAAAAAAATCATTTTTCATCAGGATAATGCACCCGCCCACACAGCTCAAAAAACCATCGCCAAAATTACTGAATTAAAGTAGTAATTGCTGCAACATCCACCCTATTTGCCAGATTTGGCTCCCTCTGACTTCTGGCTGTTCTCACATTTTAAAAAATTCATGCGTGGACAGCATTTTTCATCAAACAAAGAGGTGATAGCAGCTGTGGAGGGTTATTTTGCAGGCTTTCGGAGAATCACTATAGGGATGGTATTCACAAATTGGAGGAATGTTGTAATAAATGTATTAAGCTTCTGGGAGAATATACTGAATAATAATATGCATTTCAAGCCATAAAATTGTGTTTTTCATATCTATTCTAGAAACTTATTGGCTGGCCTGGTAAGCTTTCTTTTTTTTTTTCTGTTGCATGTGTTTTTAATAGAGCAACACAGTCTTTCAACTTTATTAATTTAGAATTTAGCATAATGTACGTAAACTGATATCTTAGGCTAGCCAATTTTGCTTTTTTCAAAGTTATTGATTTTTTTTCAAAGTTATTGAATGTTTGCAGAGATCCACTTTTTACGTTATACTTTTATAAAGTATAACGTAAAAAGGAACTTGTTTCTTTTGTTTTATAAGTGTGTGAATCTCACCAATTTTCATATTATAACTAAAATAAAAAAAGTATTTTTCAAGCAGTACAATGTGTATTGAATTGTATTGAAAAAAAAATAACATGCATTTTTGTTTGGGTGAATAAAAAATATGATGCTTTAAATAAGTATTTTAATTTTAGGCGAATTTTAAGCTTTTATGACTTGAAGCTTATACTTTTAAATAAACTCAAAAGGGGAACTTAGGGGCAATGTATATAGATCTAATAGGTTATAGACATGTTGCATTTACTAGCTCATACACTCTATATAGATCCTTGTAGGTTCTCTAACTTATCTGACACTTTTTATACAAAATAAAAGTATTAAATGTTATAAACTTTCCTCATTATAATAAAGACAGTTTATAAATGTTGATCATTTCTTTATATTATTTTCATATAATTATCTTATTAAATAGTTGAAATACAAAAACAGTTAAATTACGAAAACAAATTGCGCATAAATATATATTTTTTAAAGTTACTGCTTACTAAAGTTAAGCATAAAAATGAAAAAATTTACTCTTTTTTGTAATAAAAAAAAAAAAAGTAATTTATTATACATAGAACTGCAATTGATTTTTGAGGTTTCGAAAGATACTAATATACTCAAATAAATTTTATTATAAAACAATAGAGTATATGATTTTTGAAATAATAAATTTTCATTTTTGAGGTTTTGTCCATCACCTGGCCCACTGTGTTCTGCTTAAAAAACTCTTGTATGAAGTTTATGATTCTATGATTCTTTAGATCTCAAGGTAATTAAAAGTTTTTTCTTTTAAGAAAGCGAATCATTACCTGAATTTAAACGCAAGTTGTGTCCTGGTAACATTCTTGCAGAAATTGGCTATTCACCATCTCTTTTAAAAAAATCCATTGTCGAACGTGTGCAAGATGCTTGTTTTTCCTGTATGCGAATTGAATCAAGGTTTTTGGAGCCAAGTGAAGAAGTAAAATTGCAAACAGGAATGGCTGCTACAGTTCGCAAAGTATTCAAAAATAGATCAGCTAGAAAAGACTTGTTTTTAAAATGCTTGACTGGTTTAAAAAATGATTTAGCTTTAAGAAGAGAACTTAGAAAGCCTGTTGATAAGGTGACTTTTTTAAAAAGTTTGTAATTAAATATATTGTAAATATATATATATATATATATATATATATATATATATATATATATATATATATATATATATATATATATATATATATATATATATATATATATATATATATATATATATATATATATATATATATATATATATATATATTAGGGTGGTCCATTTTAACATGTAAATTTTTTTGTTTAAATTAATGAGGCATGTTGACTTATTACTTTATTAATTTTGGTCTAAAAATTAACTGTTTCAGGTTGCAAAAAATATATTTAGGGGTTGCTCAAGCATATCAAAGTCTAAAATATTATATGGTTTTGCCAAAAAAGTTTTCAAAACTAGAGTTTTTGTGCAGACTTTGTATTTTTTGTAGTGTTTAATCATTGTGTTTCAATATCAATGTAGAAATATTGTAGAAATTTCACATTCAGTAGATGTCAGCACTATACTTAGTATACTTCTAGAATAATTATTACATACAATTTTAAACACTCTTATTTGGTAATATTAAAGCATGCTATCGGAAAAATCTGCCCACCTTTCTTGATCAAAAAAGGATGTAAGAAAGCTTAAATGTATTTAAATCAATATATTTCTGAAAAATTAAGACTGTAAAGATTACATATTAATAGGGAAAAAACAAAAAAAAAATAAAGTTTTACAGAAAATTCTGACTTTCTTTTTGATGCCTCCCATAAGTTTCTGGACAAAGTGATTTTTATAAGTTTTAGCAGCGTAATCCCATTTTTTCTTTAAATCTGTAGCTAATTTTACTGTTTTTTCACTTAATTTCAATTTCTTTTTTATGATGGCCCAATATTTTTCAATAGGGTGTAATTCAGGGCAGTTTGGAGGATTCATCTTTTTCGGAACCAACATCACTCCATTATCATCGTAAAACTTTTGAGCATCTTTTGAGTAATGTATTGTGGCTAAATCAGGCCAAAACAATACTGAAGTACTTCTTTGAGCTTTAATTAGTTGTTTTATACGAGAAAGACAACATTACATGTGTTCCGAAGATTTCATTGTGCCCAAACAAACATGAATTGGCGATTTTTTGCCTCAATAGCAAAGTGCCTGCCAAATCATCAATTTTTTCGAAAATTTATTGGTCATTACATACTTGTATTTATTACTCACATTTCCTCTTATTTTAGAAGCATAGTAGCACTGCCCAGGAATTTTTTTTAAATCCATTTTAACATAAGTTTCGTCATCCATCAAAATGCATACATTATGTTTTGTTAACAAGTTGTCATACAACTTTGGAGCTCGACTCTTTGCGGTTGAATTTTGTTTATCGTTGCGATTTGGCATTTTAATTACTTTAAAACTTTGATATCCAAGTCTTTGTCGCCATTTGTGTACAAAATAATTGGAAACCTTCAGTTTTTTCGCTCGAAATCTATAAGACCAATCAGGATGTTCTTCCAATGAAGTCTCCAACCGTTCGAGAACTCTAGGATTTGCTGTGCATTTTTTTCGACCACTTCCTTGTTTTTTCTGAACAGTTTTCTGTTCTGTAAACCGTTTAAAAACAGTATCTACAGTTCTTCTTGATATTTTTAATGATTTCGCCAACTTTTTATTTGATAAAGTTGGATTTTTTAAGTGTTTGTCCACAATCAAAAGTTGTTTAGTTTGCTCAGTTGACATTTTGAAACTAAATAATATTTTTAATTATTTTTTTCTGCCAAAATGTTCTCTTATACAAATACTACCACACACAAAAAAATAATTTCAAAAAATAACCGTTAACTAGCTTTACCACACTACAAAAGGTGGGCAGATTTTTCCGATAGCATGCCTTATAATTATTAATTACTGAATTAACTTTTTGAATTAACATTTCTTCATTCGTTTTAATAGAATTTATTTGCATAATTTATTGCAGGTCAAATATTTTAAAATAAAAAATGGCTACAGCTGCAATAAATATACCATCACGAAAAGCAACAGAAATATATTTAATTGGGCAACCATTAGAGAATTTTGGTGATCGATTCCTTCCAACAGAAAAAGATGTTCTAAAGCGTTTCTTCTTCTTTGGAACCAACAGTCAAGAAAATCGCAAGAAAGTCATTGACGAAGTGCTATTCTTGTGGACAAAGGCACGTATTCCAGTTATGGAGACCCATGCATCATTGTCAAACTTATTACAATTCTTGATAGGTATAAAAAACTTAAGAAAAATCATGGTAGAAAAACTGACTAGCAGAAAACCAGTGAGACATTATTGAAAGGCAAGCTTTCACAACTCTTTGATGTATCTCACAAGAATGCAATGCCACTCATCACAATCAATGAAGACAAGGACTTCCTTATTGATCAGAGGACAGTCAGAAAGATGGCAATGGCAGGAGAAGATAAGGAGCTGGCAAAAAAAGAAGAAAAGATGCAAGCACGAGAGAATCTGATGAAAGAGCGAATAGAGAAAGAGAAGAAAAAAATGGATGCTCAAAGCTTAAAGGTGCAACTTGTTGACTCATCCCCATCCTCTTCAGACTCTGAGTCATCTGAACATGGCTCTCCTCAAATTCGTAATCGGAGATCAAAGCGATCAACTCCTTCCAAGAAATTGAAAATGACTCCAGAGTTGGTTTGCTCATTGGATGGTAGCAACATTTCTGACCGGCGTGCTGTTCATATTTTGAATGCCTCAGCAGCAACACCTCTTAGCAACAGATCAATCTCCAGGAGCTCAGTTCGACGTGCTAGGATACATAGCAGGGCCATCACAGCAGCCACTGTTAGGGATTCCTTCATCAATGAAGTTCAACAGAAGGATACCTTATTAGTATTAGACTGGGATGGAAAATTGCTCCCAGACTGTACAAGAAATGGAGATGGCTTAAAGGTGAATGGTTTGCCAATTCTTGTTTCAAGCCCAGATATTGAATTCAAGAAACTGCTGGCAATATCAAAGTTATCATCAAGGACCAGATATTCAGCTATTCAAACATTTTCGAGAACAATGGTCCTTCATCTCAAAAGATTTCAAGAATATGAGAGTAGATGAGCGTAAAGATTGAAAAGATGCTACCATAACCTCCATGCAGTCTAGCTTGGCTCGAAAGAGTATACGTAATGATTATGCCGAACTGTGTCAACTGTCATTGTATTTTCTGACGGTAGAATTATGTGCTCCAATCAGGAAGCCTGGTGCATACCATCACGTCAGGTGGATGGCCAAGGCTATCTATGGGTTAAAAATCTTGTTGTTCCAGAAGCAAACGAAACTGACAAAAAAGTGAGGAGACTGGTCTACATGAAGTGTCTCTCTTCATTATCTTGAGTTACTCCAGAGTCTGGATAGAGGCTCCGCGAGGTTGTGAGGTCGCTGTCAATGATAAGGCTCTTTTAAATGATTTGGTCAGCTACATCAATGTGAACGAGAAGATTGAACATTAAGAACTTTCCTACGCCATTTATGGTATCTAGGTGGTGACCTTGTTGGCTTTTCACTTTTTTCCAAAAAGTTGTCTACTGATGAAAAAGAGGATATTGTTAGAGAAATGAAGAAGGAGAAGAATATGGATCGAATTAAGTGGGTTACAAAAAAAGGAGAAGAACAACGATGAACCTCAGTGATCTCGCTTCTTCTGCATCCTTGCGATTTTAAAAATCTTTCAGAATCAATGAAACTTTCTTGGAGTTACCTCCTGATCAATGGGATGTTGATTAAAGTTTTCAGGAAGGGCACAGAAAGCTTGAGAAACTGAAAATTGTAACTGATAAGGCAAAGAGGGGAGTTGCAAGGATTTCCACTTTCAATGATTATTTGACAAGGAACGGAGAGACAAAACAAGCACTACTACAAGTTGTAGAGCACCATCGTTGTCTCCACCCTCTCAAATGACTTTTCTGACATTAATGAACGATGTGAGTGATTGTGTTCTAGTTTTGTCACGTTTTTTGCATGTTTTGATGTTTAATAACTTTTCAGTGATTTTTAAATTTAAATTTGTCCTAAATTCATTTATTTGTTCCTGCAATTTGCATTTTTTTGATATGATTTATTTGATGTATAACTTGAAACTTTGATAGCATTGAGCAACCTCTAAATACAGTCCAAACTATGTAATATTTTGCACAGTGGTTTTTTTGAACAAAATGAACATAACAAACAACATGCCCCTGAAATATATTAAACTTGACTTTTTTGGACCACCCTAATATATATTTATATATATATATATAGTATGATATAAAATTATTATTATTAAAAGTGGTATTTCAGCTCTGAGAGCCATTATAAAAGAGCTATTATAAAACTAAATTTAGCTTGATAATAACTCTTCAGGGCCGTCCCGAAGGGGTGAGGTGTTGGGGTGTCCCCCCTCCTCCCCCTCATTAAGCTATATACCCTCCCCCTTCCCCTTCCCCCACCTTCATGGAAGACCTTTTCTAGATGGCCCTGTAACTCTTGCTATATAAGTATATGTAACTCTTGAATATATATACAAAGTTTGAGCGCCCGGACCACTTTTGAACCCCCCCCCCTCCCTCAACCCCTAAATTTAGGGAAGTGGCCATTTTCGGTCATCTTGAGGGAGGGGTTATATTTTTTTTTTTCAATTTTTTTTTTCCTTACTATATGAAGGCCTATATTTTAGTTTAAAACTGTATGGTTTTTTTATTAACCCTCAAAAATCTATGTTTCGTGGTATTGAAAATCATGAAAATTTGTATTTTATGGGGGTGGGGGGTAGGGTGTCCCAAAAAACATTTTTAAAAATAATCTGCTCTCACCCCCTAAATGTGTTCTATCTAATACAAAAACACTAAGTTTAATTTTTTTTTCAATAAAAAATAATTTAAAGGGTCACTCAAGACCCTCGAATATTTAATTTTCAAAATTATGTCAACCTGGTACTCAAATGAAGCGAAATTATATAAAAATTTCAAAAATGTTTGTTTCGATAAAAATGATACGTAACGATATTTCCTTTAAAATATGCAATATTTGCCACAAAAAAAAAACAATTTTCTGTAAAAAAAATCGCAGATTTTGTAAAAAAAAAAAAAAAAAAAAAAAAAAGGTTCTCAATTTTCAATTTGGGCAGTTGGGCAGCGCCCAAATACAGTCGGCTCTGTTGAAAACAGTAGAATAGCCCCTGTGTGTATATATATATATAATATATAATATATATATATATATATATATATATATATATATATATATATATATATATATATATTATATATTATATATATATATATATATATATTATATATATACATTATATATAAAATATATATATATATATATATATATATATATATATATATTATATATATACTATATATATATATATATATATATATTATATATTATATATATATATATATATATATATATATATATTATATATTATATATATATATATATATATATATATATATATATATATATATATATATATATATATATATATATATATATATATATATATATATATATATATATATATATATATGAATATTAACTCTAAGAAACTAATAATATAATAAGCCTAATTAAATAAATAAGAAAAGTGTATATAAACACAAAAGAACCGTTCTATTCTATTCCAAAACATGGACGAGGGGCAACTATTTATATACATTGAAAAAACCGCTATTTATCTTTATTGAAATAAATAAACAAAAAGATAATTGTATATTTAAAATATTATAACAGATAAAAACTCAATACATTTGTATTAAAGGTTTATCTCTTTATCTTTTTCTGCATCACACCAAGCCCATCATTTAACTTAATCTTTGAAATTTTACTAGATTTTTGTTCTGGTGATCTGAATACAGATCAAAATTTGTCTACAGTGAGCAATCTATTTTGTTTTTCAGTTTTATTTGAATATCTTTGAATATACTGCGCCATCATAACTATAGACCGTTCTGAATGGTCATTTACAAAAATCAAAGTTTCAGCATATTTTTGAAAACTTTTAAAGCAAGATTGGGTATATAAGTATGGGTATATATTTTGGTGGAAGTGAGAGCCAGTCTTTAACTCGTTGCTTATCAAGATCAATCATGTCAAAAATCAGGTAAGAAAAGTCATCAACTAAGACAGACAAGGATGGTGGTTTTTTTCCAATATTTACATTCATTTTATAAACTTTCTTGATATCTTATTTTACTTTGTTCTCAGGCTTATAACAGTCAGAGCTAGGCATGTCAAATAAAAGAACTGCTGATGCAATTTTTGTCTTCTCCTCTAATGTTAAATCATCATCTAGTAAAGCTAGAGGTATCATTGTTGAGTCCAAATAACAACAATGTTTATACTGAGATTCCAGAGACAGCATCAATAGCAGCTAGGTTTGTACATACCTTCTTGTACAGATGCATTTGATGAATGGCTGTAATATCAAGAAAAGGAGCTTTGATGACATCCTCAGATTGTAAATACCATTTTGTATAAAAGCAAATAAAAAGTTCTGTAATAAGCCTAATTTCAGTTTTTAGTTTATCGTTTTCTAGAACAAATGAAAGTTGGTTGGATAGAAGTTGAAGTTTTAGATAATAAATTGCTTTTCTTAAAAATCTTGCATGGTGAATAGCACCTGTTTTTCTTACTTTATAAGTAACAGGGATAAGTAGGAGACAACTAATTCTGCAAGCTCACTTCTATCATTTCTTTTAATACCTGGATTACCAATGTAAGCTCTGAAAAATGTTAATGAATTCTCAGCTGCCTTCTTTAATAGATTGCATTTAACGTTATTCCAATCAAACCGTAAGAGTTGAATTGGATTATAATTAAAATCAGGTTCTTCAAAAATATTTTTTAATTTTTTGAAAAGTGGATTATGAGATTCATTCGTTTTATCATTGGTCACTAATTTCCAAAAGTGAAGCATTCTTAGTTCGTTCACATGATGTCTACAGGCTATTTGGAGGAGATATTTATCCAGTTCTTTAGATATTCTTGAAACGGACCCTTTATTCGTCCCAGTATTGGATGATGTTGTATCAAAGCATATTCCTCGAGTTTTTGATGTAAGTTGATATTCTTTAATTAAATCTATTATACCACAAAATTGATCTTCACCGATGGATGACAACAGTGGAGGTACTCCAAGTAGGTAAGAATCTCCATTAATGTTAACTAAAACCGCCATTCTATCCCTCTTTAATATTTTTCCTTTGTTTAGTTCATTGTTTGATGGCACAACATTGTTAAACAATGTTGTGCCATCAAAATGAATTATACATGGATATGGAGATGCATAAATGGCTACTTTAACATCTTCTTTTGCAATTGTTGATATGTTTTCGTTTTCTTTTTTAATTTTTCTATATGCGGTAGACTGACTGCTTTTAACTTCTTTAATGTCAACACATGATTAATATAGAATTGCATTTGTTACCTTCTGTAAAACATTTGGTGATATATCACAGGCTGTGGCAGTAAAAGAAACATTACCAGCAAAAATATCTTTTGGAATTTTTGCAATTACTGTGTCTGGGTTTTCAGAAACTTCTATATGATACCAATCACCTGGATCAAAATCAGATTCAATTAAAGAATCCTCGCTTAATCTGTGTCTATAAGTTCAACCTTGGACACATCATCTCCCAAACTTATAGGCTGTGGACAATTTTTCTTACTTATACTTTCTTTTACCTAATTTATAGAAATGTTTTAGTATTAGTTTTTAATTTTAGAATTAGTGCAAAAGAGAATAAAGTAATAGAGATTAAACCAATTAACTAAAAGCATTGAATACCTTTTATCTATACTTAATATCTTCTGAACCAATAACAAACTTTCTTTGACCTTCCTGATCTTCAAGAAATTTTAAATCATAAATCTTGACTCTAAGGGGTCTTTTTTTATCTCGACTGATCATGTTTTTGAGATTAGAATTACCAGCCCAACAAAGTTTTTTTATTTCAATCTCAAACTCGTTTTGTTTAGCCAAATCACTACTAGTTCCTCGTTTTGCATTTTTTTTCAAGTTGGAATAAGACTTGTGCAAATTAAAAAGTTTCTTAACTAAAACTAAATCAGTTAACACATCAAATCCTGCTTTAATCCAGGATCTCTTGATTTTAGATAAAATACATTCACAGCAACTATCTGAACATCTTAAAATTTTAAAAGAACAAGCAATTATATTAGATATTGATGCAGATCGAAATTGCTGGTTATCTATTATGTGTTGAAGAATATCCAAGCCAAGTAGCTGTATATCTAAATTAAAAAATTTTAAATTTTAAATGAACCATTCGATAAACGTCTTATTAATAATTCCAAAAACGAATCATTACTAATTCCAGTATTAAAATTTTTTTTTTTACCTGATATAGCTGGTTTTGCCTCTTTTATAATAAAATGTTCCTTTTTTATTGACCTTAGTTTAGCTTCACTCATTTCTAATATATTTATTTTATGTACTAATCTTAAATTATTAGAAAAATGTAAAATTTAAAATTTTCAGAAGTTGTACCAAAATATAACTATACAACCATAGGCGTAACAGAAGAAAATGCAAAAAATTACCAATTTTCATGATTTTCAATACCACCAGACATAAATTTTTGAGGGGTAATAAAAAAACCATACTTAAATATAGGCCTTCATATAGTAAGTAAACAAAAAAAATTTGAAAAAAATATATATAACCCCTCCCTCAAGACGCCCGAAAATGGCCACTTTTCGGTCCTTTTTTTCCTAAATTTTGGGCTTGAGGGGGGGGTCAAAAGTGGTCAGGGAGGGCTCAAACTTTTTGAGGCTTGTTTTCAAAATATTTGCCCCAAATTTAGGGGGTATGTTTTTTCTGTTTTGAAAATTTACTTTTTTTGACTCCCCCTAATATATATATATATATATATATATATATATATATATATATATATATATATATATATATATATATATATATATATATATATATATATATATATATATATATATATATATATATATATATATATATATATATATATATATATATATATATATATATATATACATACATATATATATATATACATATATATATATATATATATATATATGTATATATATATATATATATATATATATATATATATATATATATATATATATATATATATATATATATATATATATACACATATAAATATACATATATATATATACACATATAAATATACATATATATATATACACATATAAATATACATATATATATATACACATATAAATATACATATATATATACACATATAAATATACATATATATATATATACACATATAAATATACATATATATATATAACTTATTTTGTTGTCAGCTATTTACGTAACTATAGATTAAGCACCAATAAAATTGTATATAAATATACTATAATTATATTTATGTTTTATTTATTTGCGCCTTAATTTGTTTTATTTATCGTTTTTCATTTATATATTGTAGATAATATTCTGTTTGAGTTTGCATTGTTTGAGAAATCAAGTAGTTTTTTATCTTTTTCTTTTTTTTTTAATTTTTTTGTTTTTAGATTGGAAGTAATTCTACAATTTTTTACAGTGCTCCCTCGCAACCTGCAGATTACGATTTATTTTTAAATAGTGTTGATTTGTATGATAAAAAAGAATGTAGTAATGGTTATCCATTGCATATTTCTTTAGTATCTAAAGTTGGTTCTGTAATCATTTGCAAATCATGAAGATTTGTATTTAATTGCGCAAATTGTAAATTGTATTTAATAAAAGTCATTAAAAAATTTTTATCTCAAATACACTAATATGATAATACTGTATGTATGCTATTTGGTTGATATTTTTTTAATGATATACAATTTATTTATTTATTTTTTTGTTAATATTTCCTTATTCTTTAACTTCGGTAACATCTTGTTTTGACGTTGATGGTACAGGTAATTTTTCGCCTTTAAACCAACAATGAATTTGAATCTCTTTTATAGATGCGCGCTTGTCTACGTTAGGTACCAGCATTTTACTAATTAAGTCTTTGACTTCAGGTGAAATTTTCTTTCTACTTGAAAAATGCACTGGTCGCATAACTTGTTCGAGTAGTGTTTTTAAATTTGAATCGTCAAAAGGAAGACTAGCGTTTACCATGGTGTATAGAACTACCCCTAAGCTCCAAATGTCAGCAATTGTTCCATCATAAGGTATTCCTATCGTAACAAATAAAAGTTAAAATTATTTTGTAGCATGTTAGTTCCGCTAGTTCTTATATACACTGCTTTTATTAAAATGTTGTTAAAATCTTTATAATTTTTATCGTGTTAATTCAATACAAATTACCATAAAATTATTATCACCGACATTATTTCTGCCACTTTAATTTACCCATGTTTTATTAAATAAGTTATGTAGGATTACACGCAAAATATTTTATTAAATAAGTTATGTAGGATTAGGCGCGAAATATTTTAGTAACTGAGTTAAGTCAAAAAAAAAAGTTTTTTAAAAAGTGATTAGCGCACTAATTAGGGCTGGGGAACGATCATTCTCTAAAAACTAAATATTGCTGGCAAAAGTATAGAGAAAATTTTTTTTATATAAAAAATATTTCAGGCTATATAAATAGTTTTTCCAGGATTTAAAACTTTATTAAAAACGTATTATGTTAAGAAATTATGCGAAAGTATAGGCACATAAAACGTACAATTTATTTCGAGAAAGTTGTATACTTTATATGGTTATAACTTTTAAACACCTGATTAATTTTTGATAAAATTTCAAATGTATTTATTCTGATTTATGAAAATAATTACTTCTTTCGGAAAACCCAAGTTCATCACATTAAGAAGGGAAATTTTATTTTTTATTGTGTTTTTGTTCAGGTTAAGCAACTAACCTGGAATTTACTTAACTCAAATGCTCAAAAAATTCTAGATCTGCCTCTTGGTTATCATTACAAATAGCCTAAAACAATTTTAAATTTTTACCTCTCAAAATTTCCGGTGGTGCGTATGCATAAGACCCGCAAAAAGTTTGACTCAGTTTTTTTTTTCCTGTTTCTTGATTAATTTGTTGCACTTTTGCAAAACCAAAATCAGAAACAATCAATGTAAAGTTTGCATCAAGTAATAAATTCTCGCACTTTAGATCACGATGAACAACTCCGTGAGAATGAAAGTATTCAGTAGCACTTATTAATTGCTGAAAAAAAACTCTGGCGCTATCGTCAGTTAAAGGTCCTTTATCTCGAATATATTCTAAGAGATCTCCATTTTCAGCGAGATTCATAATCAAATATATTCGACTGTTGGTTTCAATTGCCTCTAGTAGAGATACGCAACTTTCATGTTTTAGTCTTTTAAGAACTTGAATTTCTCGCGGAAGAAATTTAGTTAAATAATCATCGGGAGCTTTTTTCTTGGATATTATTTTAATTGCCACTTTTCTTTTATGTTTTTTAGAGTTTGCACTGCGAACAACCGCGTAGCTACCCTTACCGAGTTGTTCTCCTAAAGTATACCCGTATTGTGCCAATAAAGTAGCAGCAGAGTCAAAAGCTGTTTGTTGAGTTGGTTTTGCAGATGGATCATTGTGTAACGGCGCCTCTGTCTCGACTTTTTCTTTATTTTCAGCAGAAGCTGCATCTGGACTTTTAATGCTATCGTTTACATCTCTTTTGTCATTCTGTTGTAATTCGTTTTCGACTTTATCGTTTGTCAAAGAATTTTTTGTAGTTTCAGCCATAGGAGGATTTTTCCGAAAGAATTTTCTCAAAATTAATGAATTGAATACATTGCGGCCTGTTGAGTTATGTTTTTCCGCCATTAGAGAACATTTTTATTTTTAACTTTTTAATAACTGGAAATATCATATTTGACGTCATTAAAAATTATTTGAGGTCTCGATTACCTAAAACATTGAAAAAACCATTAGTTAATCTTTAAATTAATATTTACTAAATACTTTGATTATTTTTATTATTGTGATTCTAATTGAGTATTAAAAAAAGTTATTTGTTTATATATAGGAACTAAAAAATTGAGTTGCTTTTTTGATATTTTTAATTCATAAATATATAATTTTTAATTAAATAATTTTAAGTATTTAAATAAGTTTAAGTATTTTTTAAAATAATTTAGATATATAATAATATTACAAATATGATTTAGTTAACCTTTAGTTTTACAATATATAACTTATAATAAGTTTTAATGAACCATTAAAAACTTGCATAATAACTGTTTAATTCTGTACTTATCAAATTTAACAAAGTTCACTAAAAAATTCAACAAATGCAAAAAAAAAAGGGTATTATTTATGTTGTCTAAAATAATAAATTCTAAAATAATTTTAACGAGTTATATATAAATTTAGTTCTGTAAATAACATTTTTATACACAATGTTAATGCTACTTACGTTAGTTTAACATGTAAGAAATTAGTTTAACATGTAATTAGTGTTAGTTTAACATGTAGTATATTCAATGCTTTATATAAAAATTTAAAAAAGTTAAATTATTTTAGTAAATAAATAAAATTAAAAGTAATTTAAAATTACTGAATGTTATTCAATTTACTCTAGCTATAAAAGTTATAAAACTATAAAAACATTGCCAAAATATAAACGTACTGCAACAAATCTATGATGTAAATGTGGTTCCAGTGAGTTCAGTAAACAAAAAAGATTTCATACCAACTTACTTTCTTAAATATTTCTGATATAGCAGTTTCGTTTAAAAAAGATAAGAAAAAACAAATAGTCAACCTGTAATACCTGAGCATAAGTTAATCTGTCCAATATAATTTTTATATGGAAATACAACAAAAGGAAATCGTGATTTACGGAAAATTTTTTAGGTTTTTTAATGAGATTGTAATAGAAACTAAAGATAGTTACCACATTTAAAAGCATTAATGATATGTTGTTGTCCATATTAAATGCAATTTTACATGTTGTTGATATATGTGAGCTTTGAAATTTTTTTTTTAAGTTTATTATTTTAGTTTAAATAAAAATGACTTTTTTATTTTGTTTTTTTACTTTTTTAGTTTAATTAAAGATGACTTTTATAACAGTTATTTTATCTCAAACTAGTTTAGGTTATGTTTACAGTTCGTAAAAATTTTATTGGCTTTGTTGAAAAATTAGTTTAATGCAAACTTTTCTTGCTGTTGAAGGTATGTATCCTACTTTTCACTTTTCTAGATGTTAAAAGTACGTATGCTACTTTTAAGTCTATTCTATTAAATACATTTATATGATATGTTGTTGGATTATAATGTTATCAGTTGTTTACAATCTATAATATATTGGGGTAGATTCAGGTAATATGAGCATACCAAAAGATCTCTAAAATGTAAGTGAATTTAAAGTTACTTTTTATTTTTTGATTGGACTTTTTTTGGTGATAACAGGAATCAGTATATTTAGCATAAATTTATATGCATTAATTAGCGGCTCTTAGGGATCGTCCATAAATTACGTAACGCAATCTTTCACAATAAACAAAACAAAAAAGATCAAAAGTTTTTCCTCGCAGAGTCTTAACTTAAAAAAATAAATTTTGAACTACAGTCATTACGGGTAACTTTGAACGGTTTGCGCTAGGTTAATCTCTACAAAAATTGTTTTACTAACTAGATAAAAAATATTTTTACAAAAAGGGTGTTCTGATGATCTCTTTTTTCTAGTTTGTTATCATTTTTTTAAATTTGCTAGATATTATGTAAAAAAACAATGTTCAAGTAGGCGTTCAAAGTTACCCTCGCATTTCGGGTAACTTTGAACACTATTAAACTGAATGTCAATTTTAATCTTATAAATCTAAAAAGTTGTTTAAATTTCTTTGTATTAGTTTAAATTAATTTTTTAAAAAATCTAGTTAAACAATTTTGAGAATAAACAAACAAGTTTTTCAATAAAATATTTCTAGAATAAACAAACAAGTTTTTCAATAAAATATTCCCAAAATAATTTTTAAGGTTATAAAAGAAAAAATAATTAAGACCTTATTTTTATATAATTCTCCACAAATAAACACCATTGACTATAAAACTAAATATTACAGTGTTTCATTCCTTTAGTCTTGCGTTACAACTAACTCTTTTACAAAATAATCATGATCAAGGAAAACATGTACATAGTGATTGTTTATTTGCTCCAATGAAAAAACTGCATCATTTTGAGATACAGGTAAAACTTGTTCATTGTCTTCAATAACTTGATTAACATTTACGATGCTTGAACTTTGTAAAATATTAAGTTTTTTGTTTATTTTCATAACCATATTATTTGATCCAAGTGGTCTTCCTCTTTTCTTTGCTCGAATATTATCTTGACTTTTTTTTTTTATTGTCTTTTTCCTTATAGTATGCTTCTACCTCATTGGCTGATACATTTTTCCCTGCTGTTATTGGTAACTTAAATTTTTTGCTTACTTCATAATTAAGATGAATATCATTAACATAATTCCTAAACGATTCTCCAATATTGAGTTGAATATCTATATTTGTAAAACTGGGTAATTTGGAGAGAACATGTTCTGGTACAAATGGATATATACCAGTAGCCTTAAATCCTGCTTGGAGATTATGTTCTAGATTTTCTTTACCAACATTAAAAGTAGATTTAATGAGCTGCGTAAACAAATTTTTTGGCAGGTTATTGACCTTTTTTCCTCTGGATGTTTTACGCCATTGATTAAGAACTGACCTCCAGTTAGCTTTTAAACTCGAGAAATATCCAACATCTAAAGGTTGTAAAAGGTGTGTGGAATTGGGTACCAAACATATAAATGTTATATTATGCTTTTCACATATATTTAAGGCTTTTAAAGATATTTGAGCACTTAAATTATCGCAAATCAGAATTTTTTTACCTTCCTTATTTATAATATTTGGAACAAAGTGATTTAACAGCCACTCTTCAAATATTTGAATTTCCATCCAACCGCTGCAAGAAGTTGCCATTCTTGATCCTTCTGGTGCATTGAAAAGCCAGTCAGACCAACTGTGTTTTCCTTTAACAATGAAAAATGGTGGAATTAGTTTTCCTGAGGCATTTCCACAAAAAACAACAGTGTAACAAGTTTTTTTGTGTTTCTTATAAGTTCTGGATGGCGAGAGGATTGACGAAAAATAAGTTTTTTTTATCAGGGTCATCATGAAACCCTGTTTCATCCATATTGTAAATGTTATCTGGCGTTACTCCATTTAATTCCTTCTCTAGATTTTGAAAAAATAATTTTATTTGACAATAATTAATCTGTGCACGTTTCCTTGAAATACAATGAGATACTTTTTCTTTTAATGATGGATGCCTGTCAAGATAAAGTTTACACCACTCCCAACCTGGTCGGTTATCTTTAAACTGTTGTATATTTTTTCCACTATCATCCAGATAGATTTTGACAATACTTTTAAAATCATTAATTCCAATTGGTATACCTTTGTCACTTAAATAAAGTAAGTGATTTTCAAAATAAAGTTCCTCATCAATGCTAAGGGCAGTAGGGCGCCCTACTGATTTACAGTGTTTACTTTTTAGCTTATAAAATAATGTTGCTTTAGGTACTTTATAAATTTTAGAAGCTTTACCAATCGACATTTTTTCTAATTTAATTTTGGCTAAAGCCTCTTGAAGTGTAGAATTGGTATAATTAGATTTAGTGCCATATTTTCTTGTGCCAGGATGAGTTGTCGAACATTTACTTGGCATAAATATCAAAAATTAATATATTAGTAATAGATATTATAATTTTTAATATTTATAATATCATATATCATTATATAATAAAAATACTATAATAAAAAGATGCCTATTATTTATTATGTATTATTGCAATGTTACTCAGACAGCAAAAAAAACATTTTTGGAAAATATTGATTGTCTAAAGTTACCCTGAATTTGGTTATATTTTAGCTAAGTGGAAATAAATATCCTTTTTGTAGCAAAAAACATGTTAAATCCTATTATTTTGAGTTTGTATTAAAGTTCGAAAAATAATTCAGAAAAAAAAAGAAATTATTTTTTTGAATAATTAAATTTACTATTAAATGGCATTAGTGAAATTTACAATTTTAGTTTTATGTATAATTTATGTACTAGTTGTAACTAAGAATGCTATAATTAAGAATAAAAACCCAATGCTGTATGCTAGAAGGTTAATAATTTCTGCTGTTTACCATGCATAACAGCATGTTAAACAGCAGCAATCATGTCTACAAACAATTTTATACTTTATATTTTTTTAAGCAAGATACCAATTTGTACAAATGCTGCATGAACTATTAACTGAGTACTGTAAGTACTCAAATACTCAGGGGCTCTGTAATAATATATTACATCCGCCTAAAATATCACATCCCCCATAGAAAAATTGAAAACGAGAATGCGCTTTCGAGTCATTGCACTTAGAAGTGTATCAAGTACGTCCGAAAAATTCAATTATAAACAGTATAATAAAAACGCAACGAGATTCATAAAAACGTTTTTCTACTAAAATGCTATAAATGAAGTTAGCATAAAATGGTAATATATTTTAAATTCATATTTATAAAATTTTAATTGTATTGTATTGCGTGGCAATAGTAAAAAAAGGTTACACATGAGGAATATAATACTTTAGGTAATACAAATACCAATCATTTTCAATATTTTAGAAGCCTGCATAGCCTATGCTATATATAGAAGCCTGCATAGCACCTATGGTATATATATATATATATATATATATATATATATATATATATATATATATATATATATATATATATATATATATATATATATATATATATATATATATATATATATATATATATATATATATATATGTGTGTGTGTGTG